GCTCACTTCCTCAGACAAAGACTGAAGTATGAACTCTGTTTTTCAAAATGTCTTCAAAAGTCATAGACATAAAGATGTAGAACTCGGGCCAAAACTTGTCCGGGTTTTGCTCCCTGGTGACAAAAGCTCTAAAGCTGTGCTAGGTTTAGATGGCGTCGCCTACAAACTTGGCTGCTGGATATTATATACAAATATAGCTCCCTCACGGACACATCCTCATCGGGACCAGACGTTGTTGGGGAAACTAAAACGAGAATAGAATAGCCAAAGAGTTTTTTAAATGGTGGAAGACTTCTCAAGAGGGACGTCTCGAGGAGGGTCAGGTCATAATTGACTTAAAAGACGTGAGGAGGTGAGTCCCAGAATTCAGCAGCAGATGAAAGGCAGCAGCTTCACCACGACCCACCCTCGAGTTGTCAACAGCCAAACAATAACTTGAGTGAGACAGTGGAGTGTGGGCTAACCTACACAGGAACGAGGGAGGGGAGGCAACAGAAAACTCAGAAGCAGAATGTCGTTTGCTCTTTTTACATTATGTTGCACGAGACTAATGCATAATTTCTTAATATCAATTAGTGTATTAGTGAAAATCACCGTCACAGTGGCTACAGACATCCTCTCCAACCGTTGCCACTGTACAACTCCATGTTTAATGTAACAACAACTTCAACCAAAAGACCAGTATTAAAAGAAACACAACAATAATATTCACATGTTGGCGACAACATCGTGTTCCTGGTTGATCTGCAACAATCTGTTTTCTTGTTGGCCGAACCATGATGGCGTCATGACTGTTCAACTCTGCTCATAGGCGGCCCCACCATCAACCACACACACAGAAAAGTGGTCCCTTGAACACGTATGATCTTCAGCATCTTGACCCTCTGGCTGTCCAAGTGAGGCCCCACATTATACCCAATCGCTTTAAAGTTTGCTTAATAGTTCCCAGCCAATCCCAGAGTCTGTAGTCTATTAGATTGTTTACATGTTTACTAATGATACGGAGAGCAGCATGAGAGAAGCCATCCCTCGTGTGAGTGAGAGGCAGGTGTCCTCTTACAGGCCCACAGCAGCTAACTCACCCCACTGAGGTCCTCCCACTGTCCCGGCGCTTAACTACCTGTATATACCGTGTTAGATTAAAACAAAGGAGTAAATTAAAGTAAGAACTGACACAAAAATTGGAAGGCCTATAGTCGTGTGTTTTAAGACTGAATTTTTAAGAGAATAAATTTACCTTAATAAATTAGCTTGAGGATTTTGTTAAGTAATTAAAAGTTAGGATGTCTCCTCGTCTCCTCTCGTACCTGCACACCTCAACAACCCACTACACAGTGATAATGGTAGTTATGGTGTTACTGGTGGTAGAAGTGGTGATAATTATGGTAGTAGTGGTGTTAATTGTGGTAGTAGTGGTGATATTTGTGGTAGTTGTAGTTTTATTGGTGGTAGAAGTGGTGATATTTGTGGTAGTTGTGGTTTTATTGGTGGTAGAAGTGGTGATAATTGTGGTAGTAGTGGTTTTATTGGTGGTAGAAGTGGTGATAATTGTGGTAGTTGTGGTTTTATTGGTGGTAGAAGTGGTGATATTTGTGGTAGTTGTGGTAATGGGTGGTAGATGCTGTTATATAGTTGTGGTGTTGGTGATAATAGAGGTAGTGGTAGTTGTGGTATTAGTAGTGGTGGTGGTGGTGGTGTTGATAATAGCGTTGATGGTAATAGTTGTGGTGGCAGCGTTAGAGGAGCGGGCAGTGCTAAAGCAGAGAGAGAGAGAGAGAGAGAGAGAGAGAGAGAGAGAGAGAGAGTGTACTGGTGAGGGCGACCACCACTACCACGACATGAAAACGCCATTGTGGTTGTCAATACGGTAGGCTGATTCTCTGCTCGATAGCGGTGTCTGGCAGGGTTGGTAGGGTGGCGTCTGGCGGGTTTCTAGTGAGACTGGCGGGTTTCTAGTGAGACTGGCGGGTTTCTAGTGAGACTGGCGGGTTTCTAGTGAGACTGGCGGGTTTCTGGATTTTCGTAGTTGGTCCCTTGTAAGTTCCTGACAGGTTTCTTTTCAGTTTTTTGTCGGTTTCCTGTATTTTTCTGGTGGGTTTCTAACGACTTTCTGGTATATTTATGGCTAGTTTTGAAGGGATTTAGTTGTGATAACTGTATTTTTGTAAAATTTTTGCTTAGTTTCTGGGGTTGTTATGGCGAAGTGTGCGTGCGTGCGTGTGCGTGTGCGTGTGTGTGTGTGTGTGTAATAATAATAAATAATAATAAACGGTTTATTGAAAAAGTTTGCGGCCCGAAGGCTGAAAATATACATTGGACATAAATGACTTTTTACACACATTGGTGGTTTAACAAAAGCCTTCATTAGAGAAAGGTGAGGGAACATATAGTGAACATACAGATTAATGTTTACTCACGTAGATCATGTGAGCTGAGGTGTTGAACAGCAGACACTTAGTGTAGTAACTCCCTCACAGATGGCGTTATGAGGGGCATCACGTGGAGTACTAGTTCCCTCATGTGTGCGTGTGTGTGTGTGTGCGCATGGTGGATAGGTATTGGCGCTTGGGTGTTTATGGTTAAGTGTGGAAAACAAGGAAGGAGAGAGAGAGAGAGAGAGAGAGAAAGAGAGAGAGAGAGAGAGAGAGAGAGAGAGAGAGAGAGATTATCGGGTTGTACTTCCTACCTAATCCTTTGTGAACTAGGCAGGTGCACACCGTAGGCTTGGAGAGGAAGTGTAAACGGCGCTGCCTGATATAGGAAATGCACTTGTGAACCTCTTTTATGTGACTAACCCATGCACACACGATCAAGAGCACGCGCATAACTACTTATAAATACACACACACACACTACCCCCTTTACCACCCCCAAGACTTCTGGGAAAAGAAACAGAATATAAATGTCTTTAATCTTCTCTCAAAATATAATGCAGAAAAAAAATTGGCCAGCATCAACCCGACCAAGTCTTCCTGTGCCCCTTTGTCTCCACCCTGACGAAGGCACCGACGGAGTGGCCATAATTGGCGATATTTCAATTTCTGGCTTCATGGACGGTGGCCCGATAAGTCGCTTATTTTCCATACGACCTGCTAGTGGAAAATTGGTTCTGGCTCCACGTCTCTCTTCATCCCCTGGACGGCCGGAGTCACCCACCCGACACTGATACTGTGAGCTTCCCCGGGGGCCCCTCGGCTCATGTAGGGCTGCCGCGGCACGGGGAGGAGAGGTGGGGGAAGAGGGAAAGGGGAGAATGGGTGAGGAGGAGGAAGAGATATAGAGAGGAGCGAGAAAAGGGTATAGTAGGTCAGCAGGGGCGGATGCAAGGGAGGTGTCCCAGGGGTTCGGACCCCCCTTTTTCATCAGAAAATTCCAATACTTTTTCTTTAATGCAGTATTGTACTCGGGCGTTTTGGGATTGTATAAAGTAGTTATTATTGACCTCAGAATATCTCCTAATATCAAGTGCGCATGGCTTCAAAGTGGCCTCAAAATGCCCATGATATTGGTCAGGTTTAAAAAAAAATAATTCGGGGGGACTTACAGCGCCCCCCCCCCCCCAAACCCCCAGCTGGGTGGGCTCGGTGTGCTCGCCAGGTTCTCCCACCCACAACTTCTTGGACCCCCCTTTCTGATATTCCTGGATCCGTCCCTGGTCAGGTGAGGGTATGTACTCACACACACACGCACATGTGCCTAACATCTGGGTCGCGGAGCATCAGCTGTTCTCACACCCAGAGTAAATTTGATCAAAAGTTGGGGCACTACAAGAGAAGGCTCTCCCATGGAGGAGGGGGCGTGTGGCGAGAAGGAGAAGGCAGAGGAAGCTAGGGTCGAGCTATCGGTCAGGAGGTGGAGGAAGGGCGAGGAGGGAGGGAGAGCTAAATTCGAGAACGATGGCGAGGAAGGGGGGTTGGCGAGGGGAGCGTCGAAGTGGTGTTGGACGAGGTGACGGCAGTGGTCGCCTCCTGGGTACACACACCACAGTGATTGAGGTCTCAGCGGGCGACCGGAATTGCTCTTGGAGTAGGATATAGCCTGGAGGGTAATGGTGAGGGCTTGTGTCACGGTGAGGGCTTGTGTCACGATGGGGGCTTGTGTCATGGTGAGGGCTTGTGTCACGATGGGGGCTTGTGTCATGGTGAGGGCTTGTGTCAAGATGAGAGAGTAACCGCACGCCTTGGTGTGAAGTGACGACATGAACCAACATGCAGTTACAGACACAAGGGAGGACGTGTGTATTGATGTTATGTGAGAACCCAGAACTACACACACACACACACACACACACACACACTAGTAACGTTACCTATCGATACTAACTTTACCTATAGAATATTATGCGTTTTTTTAATTCTGTATACATGCATTTCTATATCACAGTTACGGTATAAATCATCATCTCACCACCTGGGAATTAATATACCTGCCCTGTACAATTAATCACCTGTATTTGAATTTCTGAATTATTTGTCCAGTTCTGACTCAATTTTTTTTTCACAGGGTGGTTTAGTGATTGGTATTGTAGTAATAAGTTATGAAGTCTTGATACATTCCTCTCATCCTTTCCCCTCATCCTTTCCCAGTAGACATGGAGGGAGGTAAGCAACACAGGGATTATTATTATCTAGGTAGAAATAGGACTCCTCAATCAATGAAAATTTACTCTCTTTTTTTCTATTTTTCACTTAAAGTTTAAGTTTATATCCTTATCAGGTTATTTTTTCTTCATATCCGACTGTTTCTCGCTCTTATCTAATCATTTCTTCTTCTTATCCGACTATTTATTCTCTTTATCAGAACGTTTCTTCTCTTTATCCAACCATTTCTTCCTCATCCGACTCTTTCTCTCACACACCCGACTATTTCTCAACCAGAGCCAGTCCTATGTATTTAAAAGAGTCGAATACAAATCATTGCCACTTTCCCCAGATTCAACCAATTTCTCTCCCGTTTATCTCACCATTTCTTACCTCTCGTCTTGTTCTCTCATTGCCCAGGCACGAGGTGGTGGACGAGGGCACGTTACTGATCCGCCACGTGCAGCAGAACGACGGAGGGCAGTACACGTGTGAGGCGTGGAACCTGGCTGGCTCTAAGACCACTGACCCCATCAAACTCTACGTCCATAGTAAGTATAGTATATAACATCACTGAGCTCTGCAGACACAGTTAAGCAGGAGAAAGTTCCACAGCTATAGTTAAACAGTAGAAAGTTCCACAGCTATAGTTAAACAGTAGAAAGTTCCACAGCTACAGTTAAACAGTAGAACGTTCCGCAGCTACAGTTAAACAGTAGAAAGATCCACAGCTACAGTTAAACAGTAGAAAGTTCCACAGCTATAGTTAAACAGTAGAAAATTCCACAGCTACAGTTAAACAGTAAAAAGTTCCACAGCTACAGTTAAACAGCAGGAAGTTCCACAGCTACAGTTAAACACCAGGAAGTTCCACAGCTACAGATAAACAGTAGAAAGTTCTGCAGACACAGTTAAACAGAAAATTCCGCAGCTACAGTTAAACAGCAGGAAGTTCCACAGCTACAGTTAAGCAGCAGAAAGTTCCACAGCTACAGTTAAACAGTAGAAAGTTCCACAGCTACAGTTAAACAGCAGGAAGTTCCACAGCTACAGTTAAACAGCAGGAAGTTCCGCAGCTACAGTTAAACAGCAGATAGTTCCACAGCTACAGTTAAACAGCAGGAAGTTCCACAGCTACAGTTAAACAGCAGATAGTTCCACAGCTGCAGTTAAACAGTAGAAAGTTCCACAGTTAAACAATAGAAAGTTCCACAGTTAAACAGTAGAAAGTTCCACAGTTAAACAGTAGAAAGTTCTACAGTTAAACAGTAAAAAGTTACACAGCTACAGTTAAGCAGCAGAAAGTTCCACAGCTACAATTAAACAGCAGAAAGTTTCACAGTTAAACAGTAGAAAGTTCCACAATTAAACAGCAGAAAGTTCCACAGCTACAGTTAAACATTAGAAAGTTCCACAGCTACAGTTAAACAGTAGAAAGTTCCACAGCTACAGTTAAACAGCAGGAAGTTCCACAGCTACAGTTAAACAGCAGAAGTTCCACAGCAGCAAACAGTAGAAAGTTCCACAGTTAAACAATAGCCAAGTTAATAGTTCCACAGTTAAACAGCAGAATGTTCCACAGTTAAACAGCAGAATGTTCCACAGTTAAACAGTAGAAAGTTCCACAGTTAAACAGTAGAAAGTTACTCAGCTACAGTTAAGCAGCAGAAAGTTCCACAGCTACAGTTAAACAGCAGAAAGTTCCACAGCTACAGTTAAACAGTAGAAAGTTCCACAGCTACAGTTAAACAGCAGAAAGTTTCACAGCTACAGTTAAACAGCAGAAAGTTCCACAGCTACAGTTAAACAGCAGAAAGTTCCACAGCTATAGTTAAACAGCAGAAAGTTTCACAGCTACAGTTAAACAGTAGAAAGTTCCACAGCTACAGTTAAACAGTAGAAAGTTCCACACCCACAGTTAAGCAGGAGAAAGTTCCACAGTTACTTCAGAGCCATAGAAATGCTCAAAGGACCATAGCCTCATTAAGTCCACACACACACACCCCCTCGTAGCCCACAGGCTCGCCACCGCCGCCCTCACGCCCACCCCATGCTTGGGTACATTGTCATCTCGCCAGACACCCACTTCCTAAGAGGCTTTCCACTTGATTAGGCTCCATTATCCCCTAGCTGGTGCCTTCCCTCCCCTCCCTCCCTCCCTCTCTCTCTTCCTATCTCCCTCTCCTTCCTCTTCCCCCCTCCCTCTCCTCCCTCAACTCCCTCCTCCTCCTCCTCCTCCTCCTCCTCCCTCTCCTTCTTCTTCTTCTTCTTCTTCTTTCTTCTACCTTTGTTTCTTCCCTTTACTCTTCCTCACCCTTTACCTGCCTCTCCTTCTCCTCCTTATTCTTGTTCTCCTTCCTCCTCCTCCTTTAACTCCGTTTTCTCCCCTTCTTCTGTTAACCCCTTCTCTACTCCTTCGTTGCTGCCTACTTAGTTTATCACCGTCTGCTGCTACACTCTCGTCCTCCTCCTCCTCCCCTTCCTCCTCTTCCTCCCCCTCTTTCCCCCTCCTCCTCTTCCTTTCTCTCTCTTCCCATCTCTCCATCTGCACCTCCCTTTCCCCTTCTCCACCTTTTACTTCCTCCCCTTTTCACTCCTCCTATCCGTGTTGCTGCTACTCTAGTGATAAGGACAGCCTCTAACACACCTCTCTCTCTCTCTCTCTCTCTCTCTCCTTCATTTTTCGTACATATTATTCCCCTTCTGAACTGGGTTTAAGAGAACGCGTCTGACATACCGAGTCTTAGTGCAGTTTTGGTGACATTTTGGCCTGGCCTTCTATATACCTGAGTTTATGTGAGCCAGGTAGATGCGCTCTTATACCTCCAGTTAGGGGGAAAATGTATATGCAAGACCCTTTGAGAATCCATCTTTGTGTTTAAGTGTACATTAAGTGAATGACATAGATACCTCCTCAAAGCTTCAGGTTGAGGGAAAATATTAACTTGAGAACCTTTGAGAGTCAGGGCTAAGGTCCGTGTGGAGTTCGACAAGTCAGGTGTGTTTAAGGTGGAGGTAATGTAATGTCTCGTGTCGGGGCCTTCAGGGATGACGTACTCGTATGTTGACAAGCAGGTAGGTAAGGTAGGTAATGTCTCCTCCACAGATGGTAGACACAAACATCCTGTCTCACTGTTCTTGTTTTTGTGTGAAGTCGCTCTCCTCTTACACATTTGTCGGCAGGAACTCCGCCATAATGAGGGAGAAATGCTGTAGACTTTAGTTTTGTGTACAGTGTATGAGAGCTGATGAAAGAATTGGAAATTATTATCAATTTTCCCAGTCATGCAAGTGATGTAGTGTGTGTGTCTGTGTGTGTGTGTGCACTAGAATAACCTTTACATAAATCAGCCTACATAATATTTCGGTTAATTTTTCTATGTTTAAAATAAATAGGATGACTTAGATCACTATATAATTAAATGAATGATTGAAGGTTTTTGCATCTCGTGTGGAATATTAATTTCTTAATGAACTGTAACTTCACCAAAACTGTCAGACCTGAACACGATATATGACGTCAATGTTACGTAAACACGAAAACCTTGATGCCTTATCTCTAATTCACAGAAGCCATTATGACGTGTCCTTGTTCAAGCTAAATAAAAACACTTGTGTCTTTAAAGATATTGAGATAAATGTTGATATAGGCATTTAATATGTTGTGAAGACTCTCCAGGGTACACAGTATTAAAAAGGGATTATTTGACAGTAAAATGTAGTGTTGTAATGTTGTGACGTAACTCTCAATGTGTTGTGCTTCTGAGTTCAACGAGTCATCCTGTATTAGGAATAATTACGTTTTAAAATGCCTTAGCTATTTTTGTCTTAACTGTCGTAAGGTTAACGTAAAGTAACCTTCATCAGCGAAATTGATGAGTAATGTATTATTTTAAACCAGTGTTTATGTTTTGGATAATATAATCTTGGGATTTTCCACTACTACTTAACACTGTGAGATGTGTTGTTAGTTTAGTTCTCAATATTATATGACAGTTTCCTCGTGGTTATATTCTCGCCTGAATATCTTACTGTCTTAACTTATAAAACAAAAATATGAGTTACCTTGTTGCTTAAATTATCAAAATAATCGTAGTTATTGTTTTGAATTAAGTTTTACAAATGCAAAAAGACCTTTGTGCTCAGGTGTCCACTCTCTCGTCACCTCTTGTGGTAAAGGTTGTGTCACACTCCAAGCGTAAGTAAGCTTTGGTCTTCAACTTAATTATATATAAAGAGATTATTAAAGTAAGAACTACGATTAAATAATGTTGACACCTTCTCTGCTGTTCACCAGGTCTCACCCTTGTCAGTCAGGTTGAAAATTATGATGAAATATTTGGTGAACTTTGACCTTATCCCATCCTCAGTCAAGCCGAGCTTCCTGCGGGGGCCGAAGGACACGGTGACCCTGACGGAGCGCAAGGTGGAGTTCGAGTGTCAGGTGAGCGGTGACCCTGCTCCTCAGGTGTCCTGGAGGAGGGTGCGGGGAAACCTACCTGACGATCGCACCGAGATCCTCGACGACCACACCCTCAGGTAAGACGACCACATCCTCAGGTAAGACGACCACACCCTCAGGTAAGACGACCACACCCTCAGGTAAGACGACCACACCCTCAGGTAAGACAACCACACCCTCAGGTAAGACGAACACACTTTCAGGTAAGACGACCACACCCTCAGGTAAGACAACCACACCCTCAGGTAAGACAACCACACCCTCAGGTAAGACGACCACACCTTCAGGTAAGACGACCACACCTTCAGCACACCATCAGGTAACCTCCTCATCAGGTAACTTGATCTTCTGGGGATATCTTAATTAATTTTCCTGGTAACTTGGTCGTCAGTGGCTCTCCTCCGTCAGCTTATTGTTCCTCGGGTAGTTATGATCTCGGTAGCGGTGTTGGTCCCTTGTCAGATGGTTTAATTTTCTTGGTAAAATTGCTGCAAATAAAACTCTTGTCAGACCTTCTAAGAATTGCCATTAATTTTTGTTCTTCTCCATTTTTATACTAATTTACGTCTCACCTCTAATCTTCCATGGGCAGAATAGCTCCCGAGACAAAAATATTATTGCTCCTCAGGAAACACTTCTTCAGAATCCTTTACAGTGTGCCAAGTGTTTCCTTCGCCAGGTGGGAAGACTACTCTCAGGCAGGTGCTCAGGTAATAATTACCCTCTCGTAGGTGTTGGCCGCCAGGTAGCCTCACAAGTACACCTCCTCGTCGCCAGGTGTTGAGGTGTGTTGTTAGTTAACCAAACTGCCTCCTTATGTCTCTCGTTGTGTGTTCTCTGTTCGTCAAGTCTCCCACGTAACAGAAAACAAGACAACATATACTATCCAGTTACCGTAGATGCACAGAACAGTTTTGAAGCCATGTTAACAGTCATCTTTGTGAGGTAGCTTGAGTGAGCCAGTAAAGGTGTGTCCACATATCTTGGGGAAAATGTTTGGATCTAAGAATCTTGGAGAGCTGCCGAGCTGCACGTGTCGTTTAATAAAGTTAGGACGTTCAGAGTTATCCTTCCACCAGAACTCGGACACCAGATACACAATTATAGAAAACTAATGATATTTTCCTTTTGACAATATATTGGAAGAACATCGTTATTGGTGTTGTGTTTTGCTGAATTATACATATTAATATCAAGTCTAGTACACGCCTCACCTTAACGAACATTAGATGCAAAATATCTCGGCGGCCATATCTCGTGTCACTTTCAGGTTCACATTGTTGTTTTTTATTAAATCAGGATGTTATAAAGGCATCACGTATACACCCTCAGAGATATAAAATGGAATATTGAGGGAAATTTCCTTGACGATATACTGCATAGTGTTATATTCTGTCTCTTATGTTGTACAGTATAGTGGGGTCTGTTCTGTCGTCTTGTTTTGATATGAATATTATTTTTAGGTCAGAATGTTATTATGGCAGCTGTTGTGATGTTTCCCTTGTGAGATAAAAATATAATATTGGATGAGGTTTGTAGGGAGCCTTGGGTGTGCTGTTGTTGTTATTATTATTATTATTATTATTATTATTATTATTATTATTGTTATTATTGTTGTTATTGTTGTTATTAATATTGATAATGTATACCTGAATAACACCACACAAACATCACCCAATAGGTTCACCCCCACTATAAGAATTTTTTAACCCTTGTCGACATGATGTTCAAGGTTCTAGTTCTGTTGACTACATTATTAGTCGGAAAATAATCTTGTTTGCAGTTGAGGAATTAAAGCAATTACTCGGTGCAGAAATTAAAAAAGAATAATCTTATTTTTTGTGTGTGCGTGTGTGTGTGTGTGTGTGTGTGTCCAGTGATGGAGGTTGATATTGGCAAGGCTGTCGATATGGGGCTCCGAGGCGTGTGTAATAATATTAGTTTTTTCTTTTTTTGTATTTAATATTTTTTTTTCGGCGTGGTGAGAGGAGAAGAGAAAGGGACTATGATGGTTGTTAATATATTGGTTAGGTTAGGTTAATTGTATGATTGATTTAGTTTTGTGAATGGATTGATATCTATGGTGTGTGTGTGTGTGTGTGCGCGTGTGTGTGCGTGCGCGGTGTGGGGGGGCTCACCTGGGAGACGATTACTCCACATCGTAACGCTTAGAGGATCACCACACGAGAAGGTGTCAATACTTTCGAATTATCCCGACTGCATACCGAGGCAGACAAGTGCCAGCACCGGAAAGACGCTACCGCCGCCCCTCCCGCACTAGATGTAACCCTCCACACGTGCAACATCTGTGGACGACACTGCCGGTCTCGTATCGGTCTCTCTAGTCACCTCAGAGCTTACCAGCGAAGGTGACATCCTTAATAACTCGTATCACTTTATCATAGCTGGATGATCGTCATACTCGATTCCAAGTGACAGCAAGGTAATAGTAGTAGTAGTAGTGTGTGTGTGTGTGTGTGTGTGTGTGTGTGTGTGTGTGTGTAAAATTATTTCCCTGTCTTTGTTAACATTATATTTCCACCATTGGTAACCACTATCTCTACCATCATCATCATCATCTCCTCTACCACCGCCAACACCACCATCACCATTACTACTACTACTACTACCACCACCACCACCACACCCTCACCTTCCTCATCAATCTCTCCAGTAACCACCTTCTGCCTCTCCACCTACAGGATCGCCCGTGTTACGCCTGGCGATGAGGATACTTACGTCTGTGAGGCCGTGAACGTAGTCGGCACGGCCAGGACCAACGCTACTCTCACTGTGTATAGTACGTGACCCAAATTCCTGTTGTTGTTCTGTTGTTTACTGATTGTCTCCACTGTTAGTTCTCTGTTATTCTTCTTATGGTTCTGTTGTGGATTGAAGTCTGTTGTTTTTGTCTGTTACTGTTCCCTTCTGTTTTCACGTCTCTGTTTACGCCTACTGTTTCCAGCACGTTAATATTCTCTCTCTCTCTCTCTCTCTCTCTCTCTCTCTCTCTCTCTCTCTCTCTCTCTCTCTCTCATTGTACACGCACCCATAAGCCCCTTTTAATGGCTCTGCCCGCTGCCCTTTACGTCCCTACTAAACCCTTTAAAGGCCCACTAAACCTTTAACATGTGTTTTGCTGCCGACGCCACAACCCTCTTGTAAAACCACAAACTTACCTGCCTTAAAACCCAGGTTATACTCGGGAGTTTTCCGGTTTTAATTGTGGCGTTTGACCTCGACTTAAAGTTTCCCGGGTTTAATTGTGGCGCTTGACGGAGTTTATTGGGGTGCTCGGGGGAGGGAAAGAGGGAGGTTGTGGCCATAATGCTGTAGAGTAAAGAAGAAAAAGAAACAGGAGGAACTTGCCTGAAGTATTTGGGTTAAGGAGAGTAATGTTGGTATACCTGTGGCTCTGTGTCTGTACCTGTGTAGTGTACTTGTTGTCTCTCTACCTGTACTTGTATCTGTGTCTGGCTTTGTACTTGTTTCTGTACCTGGCCGTGTATCTGTACTTGTGTGAGTAACTCTATTTGTACCCGACCTTGTACTTGTTCCCTGTACTCTTACCTTTGTCTTTGGCATTGTTTTGGAATTAATAGAACACGCAATTAAAATAAACTAGTGTATTTAATTGTGAATAGTTGAGGTGATTATGGTAATACAGAACTATTAATGATTTTTTTTATAGATATGTGTAGTTATAACAAACTTTAAAAGTAATACATTATTTTATCTATTTCAAATATCTTCGTAACAAATTTTTCTCCAGTTGAATGAATCGATTTTTATTATTGTATAAGAGTCGATGTTATTCATTTCAGTTAAGTAAGTTGTTAATGACTTGTGATGTTTATTTTAATTTTATTACAAGTTAAATATAATATTTTAACTGTGACCTCTCGACCTCCTCTACTTGACTATTAAGTATTATGTACACACTGGCACTTAACACTTAAACACCATCAAAAGTCTTAACACACTTCTTATGTACCTACTTGTTCTAGCACTTAATACATAAAGCATTGTTTATAACCTCCAAACACTTAACTCTCGCTCTGCTCTCTCTAGCACTGAGCACTTACAGCACTGAACACTCGTACTGTGCTCACTTCTTAGTATTTGGCACAGGTACTGAACCCTCGTACTGTGCTCTCTTTAGTACTTCACACTTAAAACACTCAACACTCACTGTGCTCACTTTCTAGTATTTAGCACTTTGTGATCGTGCCCCGCCCACAATCATTAGCTCATCTACTCGTGGATGCCGTGACGCCACCGCAAACTAAGGCTTCCTCCACCTCCCCCTCTCTCCACCCCCTCCCCCACCCTCCCTTCATAAAGGTGGAAGTGGTTCTTACTAATGAGTCAACCCCCCCCCTCTTAATGAAGTTCTTCAGGTGTGATGTACGAGGGCTTCAGTTTTACAGCTTCCAATGTGTTCGGTGTGTGTGTGTAAGCCCCCACGACTTCTTGAGTACAGGATGACCTCTCAAATATGGAAGGAATTGGGGTGTTTTAATATATTTCAGGTTTATGTGCGACCTCATATGACCTGCGTCTTTCTGATCCTAATTACTACTTTTAAAACGATTAGCTACGGCTTTAGTGTGACTTCTGACCTCGTACGACCCGACCACTTGATCTTGGCTTGAGTCGTGACTGTTTATCTGTCTGTTTGAAGGTTTTCCTCTCTAATGACCTACAAATTTACCTGGAGTACGACCCACTTTCCTGGCTACTTTGCATATCTGTCTGTCTTGTGAACGACGGTGTGTTATGACCCACAGTCTTTGGATACGACCCAATAATATCTCAAGTTTGTAGACGCCTTCTGACGACCTAAGACATGACCCTACAAATGTATGACCTCGTAACCTCATACACGGCCTCTCTAAACGACCTAATATACGACCTATTAAAGCCACAAGCACCATAACACAAAATAACTAATTTTTCTTGTTCTCGCAGCTGCTCCGGAGTTTCTGGTACGACCCCAGGACGTGAGAGCGACGGCGGGATCATCTGCGGCGTTCGAGTGCCTGGCGGTCGGTCGTCCGCCTCCGCTGGTGGTGTGGAGTCGTCAGGACGACCATAATCTCCTCCTGCCCCGCCAGGACACTCCCTCGGGCGAACCTGACGACCAACCCAATGTGTGGGTCAACGCCGAGGGCACCTTAATTATCAACCAGGTGAGGGAGGGAGGAAGGGCACCTAAATCATCAACTAGGGGAGGGAGGGAGGGAGGGTACCTTTAATTATCAACCAGGTGAGGGAGGGAGGGCACCTTGATCATCAACTAGGTGAGGGAGGGAGGGCACTTTGATCATCAACCAGGTGAGGGTGGGAGGGAGGGAGGGCACCTTAATTATCAACCAGGTGAGGGAAGGAGGGCACCTTGATTATCAACAAGGTGAGTGAGGGAGGGAGAGCACCTTGATCATCAACCAGGCGAGGGAGGGAAAGGAAGTGGACACTGCATATTCAAACAGTGAAGGGAAGAAGGGAATGCATGAGAGGGAAGAAGGAGAATGTCGCGGGATGTAGGAAAGACAAAGAAAATGAGTTAGAGAAAGCGGAAGGAGAAGGAAAGGGCGAGAGGAAGATCAAAGGTAAGAAGGCATACAAAAATGTATTTATAATTGGCCTTTTTGAAAAAATCGAAGTAGTGACTTACTTAATGAACCTGCACGAGCGTTAACATGCTCCTTCTGTGCCTTCATCAGGTACCGTAGGTCGTCAGGTGACAGAATTATATTAACAGTAACTGGATAAATGGGTGCCAAATGAAAATAATATTAGAAGAACCAAATAGTTAACTCATATATGCAAACACTAATTTTACACCTGCGGCTTCCTCAGGTAACACGAGAGTTAGCGGGGTGGTACTCATGCGCCGCCGTGTCCGCTGCGGGATCACTGGTGGCACGGGCGCTGCTGGAAGTGCCGGCGCCCACCCTCCACCCCCCGCCCGTCATCTCCGTTCGCCCCCGCAACCTGACGGTGACCCCTGACGCCGTGGCCCTCCTGGTGTGTCAGGCGGAGGGTGACCCCGCCCCCAGGGTCACCTGGACTAAGGACGACGAACACCTACCCGACGACGACACCAGGATCACTCTGCTGGGCTCCGGAACCCTCCAGCTCAGTGGTGAGTCACCTGGGTGGTACTACTGTTAACATTTATCCCTGGATACACTAAATGTTTTGTGTTTAGTTGGAGCTCGTGAAGATTGCGCACCCCAGCTTATTTTACCTTAAGATTTAACACCCTAACGTTAACCTCCCCTTAACTAACCTCACCTAACCTAAGCCACCAAAGTAGAGTTAGGAGGGTTAATATCAGGTGAAATAAGCTGGGACGCCTAAACATCACGTGATCCGTTGTCCTACACCTGGACACTTCACAATGCTCCTCTTACTCCAGGATTCTATAATGTTCTCATATTTGTGTGATCTCTTGCTCGCTCCAAGCAGAAGAGCGCCATTGTAGGGAGAAATCGGACAAGCGTTCATCTGGCAGAGCTTCCGTATTCGTGTAATTACTGGGCGGAGAAGAACGGCAGGTGAGGTTGACTGCTTGTCCTGGCGCTGGTAGTTTGGTGCCGTCCTCAGCTATTACTGAAGTCGTTCATATTAACTGTAATTGTAAAAGTTAGTAAACAATTTCCTGGCAGGTGACACGAGGAGTTTCTTCCAGGATCTGATCACTTCTGCTGGTAATGAAATATAACCACACACAACTCATCCCTCTCACAGCTGCTGGCCAGACTTACGCTGTTCACCGCCAGTCACTGTGATACTGCGTCAGGCTGGTTCACTGCTCTCTATTTTTTATTTCAGTTTCAGATTTCCTCGTCCACTGAACAAGCTGCCATTGCAAACAAACATTATATTAACGATTTTCCGTGACACGATATACTGTGTGTGTGTGTATGTTGCCTTATCATTTATTTTCAACTATAACCTGAAAATCAATGTTTCAGAAGGTTTAAACATGATTTCAGGTATATAGACACTCGTGATGTAAATACTGATGGCATTTTAATTTGAAACTCCCCCCCCCCCAAAAAAAATAATAATAATAATATTAATCATAATAATAATAATAATAATAATAATAATAATAATAATAATAATAATAATAATAATAAATAAACAAATCGGAAACTTTAAATATAACTGACGCTAACGTGAGTGTGAAATGAGTAGTGACTTTTCATTAATTTGACCTCAACGTGAATATTCATAAATTTTTTTGTGGGGAAAAGAGTTCTTACATGACCTGAAGTGAGGTGAATGATGGAGTTTTCAGTTTAATTTTCAACTTCATTTCAAAAGTCTATATATATATATATATATATATATATATATATATATATATATATATATATATATATATATATATATATATATATATATATATATATATATATATATATATAAATTTTTAGGGGGGGGCTAGGTTTGACATGTGTGTGTTTGCGTGCGTCCGTGTGTGGATGTGTGTGTGTTTGCGTGCGTGCGTGCTTTCGTGTTTGTGTACTTGTGTGTCTGTGTGTGTGTGTCTGTGCGCCCGTCCGTGTGTATGTTTGCGTGCGTCCGTGTGTTTTTGCGTGTGTGTGAGAGGACCAGACCTACTGAGTCATTTGGTGTAGGTGATCAATACCTGAGGCTCAGCATAACACTGTCTTGCCGCCGCCACAATAATGATGGAATACTGGGTGTCGTGACTTAGTAGTTTATAATAAGGAACTCAACCACTAGGAATCCTCTCTCCTTCTCCATGATCCCTAGGAATCCTCTCTCCTTCTACATGGTCCCTAGGAATCCTCACTCCTCCATGGCCCTAGGAATCTTCTCTCCCCCATGGCCTAGGAAGTGTGCCATGACTTGACTATAAGCTGCGATAGTGAGGAATGCTGTGGGCGGGCCAGGGGTGAAGCTTAGAGCCCGTGGTGTGGGCGGGCCAGGGGTGCAGTTTAGAGCCCGTGGTGCGGTCGGCCAGGGGTGCAGTTTAGAGCCCGTGGTGCGGTCGGCCAGGGGTGCAGTTTAGAGCCCGTGGTGTGGTCGCCAGGGGTGCAGTTTAGAGCCCGTGGTGCGGTCGGCCAGGGGTGCAGTTTAGAGCCCGTGGTGTGGTCGGCCAGGGGTACGGAAGAAAATATATTATTTCGGTCGGTCTATCAGCAATTCGAAAATTTAGTGTACTTAGAGCTGACTGTCGCAGTCAACAGTGATACATTTTCCCAGCTCACCAACAGGTTTCTCGTGTACCAGAACACATGGCAAAGACAAGGATAAGCCTGTGTACCGGGAACTGTGTAATACAAACAGTTAGAGCTCACACAACAAGTAACAAGAGGTCACACACACACACGCACGCGCGTGCGCGCGCTCACTTAAAGAATAAAACCATGAAACACGCTTGTGCACGCAAAAAGCTACCCTGCACACGCTCCTACACGCAGAAAAATAGCTCCATCATGAGCAAATGAGGCCAGATGACAGCGTGTAGACTTCTAAGCACACGTCAGCTTACAGCAACGTGTACTGATATCTTGCATGTCTGGCCCTAATTCCCGCTGACGTATCGTTCTGACAGTCGCGAACATAACCACTCGCCAGTTTAACAGTCTGCCAAACCCCGCCAGTCTCTCGTACAGCGGTACAGTCAGCCACGTTACAGTAGTAACTACCACCACAAAACCTTCAGATAGTGTTTCGACCCGACCATGTTTTCACGTGAGTTCTGAGCCTCATATTTTCCCACATTTTAGCCACAGTAGTCCGTAAGAGATGTTTAGGAAGATGTTAAATCCCACACTATTTGTTTTATCGTCGATTTTATTTAATTTAAAGACAAACATTAACTTGAGCATGGTGGGTAGACACATGAGCGTACTGTAGAACGTAGATTGTGCATAATGACGTACAGTGCCTTCACGTAAGGAGATCCACCTCATGTCTGACTGTGTGAGGGACCGTGAGGGAGAGAGGGAAGACTTGTAGATGAAAAAAAAAAAAACCCTCAGGAGTGGAAGGAAATTCCGCAGAGACTCGTGAGGATAGTCAGCGACTTCACCTTACGTGTTGTGGGGGACCTGTGGGGATGGGGTGAAGATGTACTGGTGGCATCCTTCCTCAATCTCACTTCCTTACAGAGAACCACACTCCTTCACTAATGTCTAACTCTTACAACGAGAGATAACAGGCAGCAGACAGTACAGATTGGAGCCAGTAGACAGCACAATAGAGACCGGGGCAGGCTGGAGGGTGGCCTGCTAGTCTGCTTCACCAAGGGGCCGCCAGCCACAATTAGGGGATCAATATAAGTAATTAAGGAAGGAGGGGGGTGGTCTGCCCCGTCCTTACCTCTGCCCCGGATATTAAGACATTCCGCCCCGCTGCTCGATACATGGCTTAATGCCCGCCTCGCTACTTTATGCCCGCACACCCAAGGCACAATGGCTCTATTACTTCGCAAAAATTAAATTAATATGCAGTTTAGGCGTTCGTTTAAGATGTATTTTTAATCTCTGGGTACTTGAAGGCGTTGCAGGATAATTTAAACCCCGGCTGCTGTTCTGTTGATATCCAGTCTGTTCCAGCGTGGAAATGAGGCGAAAATCTCAATGTTTTGGGGTTTATTTAATGGTGAGTGTTGCCATGTTGACCTACAGCGCCAATGTTTGTAAGTTTGTCAGTCCGCCAGTTGAAGGTCAGATGTTGCGCTACACCCAAACAGTATGTCTTGCTTGCTTTTTTTTTTTTTTGCAAGACTTGGTCAAAGGCGCTTATAGTCTCTGGCCGGTGAAGCACTTACAAGAGATACATTAAGGCAAAAGTAACTATATAAGATATTGAGTGAAATTGATTGTTTAAGTGTGTGTTTTGTAATGTTTTGTTTTTAAGCTCATTCTATTATTATTATTATTATTATTATTATTATTATTATTATTATTATTATTATTATTATTATTATTATTATTATTATTATTATTATTATTATTATTATTATTATAATATTGTTTGGCATTTTCATCAGTGTTGGTTCCTCACAAGTGTACACAGCAGACAAGACTCACATAAATGGTTACCCGGCTCTCGTAGTCATTCAGTTTCTCGCAACACAAAGGACATAGGATGAGATTGATATTCCAAGACCGACAACCAGCCACCCGTGTTAACCCAACCCAAGTCTAAAATCTTAATCTTGACGTAAAAAGGTTCTCACACGACACACCCAAGGGACCACACACCTTTGAAATGTTGATTTGTAATTATTCTCTTCGCTACAGGTCAGTATACAAGCCTAGTCACTTGGCAGGTCAGTCAATTCTCTGTCGCACACTATCGGGTATTCACGGGCTATGGAATATGTACCCATCGGGGCCTGGGAGGCGAAAATGTAATAATAATAATAATGATTATTATTATTATTATTATTATTATTATTATTATTATTATTATTATTATTATTATTATTATTATTATTATTATTATTAAGAACCATAAAGAAATACAAAAATAAAATAAAAAGATCAAGAGTGAAAAACAATATGTGTATGTTGTGTTGTCAATGGTAAGAGAAACAATTGAGACCCTGCAATTGTGTGTAAATGAGGCAGAAAGTCAGATCAGCAACCTGGGACTTGGTCACACTTTTCGTGATGCCATATGGCAGCAGGATCTACCATTAGACAATACATAATGCTTCCAATGTCTTCCCAGGCGGTAGTACCTCCCTGTTTGGTAGCTGCCTACTACCTACAAAATGCATTAGTGTGTGTGTGTGTAAGATTGTTTATTTTGAAGCGTCGTACAGATTTTGAACATTTGATTTTGATGTAGCGAGGATTTTGACAGGACGTAAACCAAGTATAGTGAGATTATTGATGGGGGGGTTGGTGTGGTGTGTGGGGACGGTGGTGGAAGTGAGCAGCGCCTCCACTTGAGTTGAGTGTGTCAGACGGTGGTGAAAGAGGAAGAGAATAGTGGGTGGTCTGGTATACAGACAGAAAAACAGACAGGTAAAGATAGACGGAGAGATTGGAATATAGGGATGACAGAACATGCACGCAAATATACCTACGGACTGATACATAGAAAGATAGAGACACGCAAATAAACAAACACGCATATATTGACCGTAAAACACAAATACACACATAATTAGTCATATGTCTACCTGGGTCTCCTGAGATTACTAAGATTAATATTTAATGGGTATTGTCCAGGTGCGAACTAATTAATGACCCCCAGCAGGTGTGTACGAGGTCATAATAGGTGTGTAATTTCCATGTAAATTGGCTGGTATGTGTGTGTGGGTGGGTGTGTGTGTGTCCCGGATGTCACTGTAATCTGGAAGCGGACATATTAATGGGTTGAATATTGGCTCTCAATGGGTATTTAACTTTACAGATGAGGAAGTGAAGGCGGTCGAGTTCAGTGCCGGCTTGTGCCACCCACGGGTTGTGTAGTATCGATATTATAATGGGTTGTGTCATGGGGGTTCCGTAATGGGTTATTTAATGGGGATACAAGAGGGAATATATACTGGGGATACGTAATGGGTGTCTATAAATGGGGTTGTATTATTTTCACGCTTTATGGGGGTGTGTCATCAAACAGCAACAAAGAAAACAGCATAACAGCAGCGAAAATTAAAATAATAAATGTCTGGGTATGCAGCGTCAGGAGGAACAGCAGCGGGTGACCTTTGTTTTGCAAGCAGGTTATCGAACACTTAATGGAAGGTAGTGTAGCACCGCCCCAGTCCTCTAGGTGTAACGCCTAGTCCGTAACCTAATTAACCTGCCTCTTGGAATTGTATTTTTATACAATATGTAAATATTTTTTACGGACTTGTTTGTACCTATTTGGACCCTTTCCTTGCCCTTCTCCTTATCCTCCTCCCTCTCCTCTCTCTCCTTCTTCGACTTCTCCTCTCTGTCTCCTCTTTCGACCCCTCTCTCCTTTTTCTTCCTCTCCTTCCTCTCCTCTCTTGCATTGTTGTGTTTCTATCTTTCAGAATAATTCTCTCTCTCTCTCTCTCTCTCTCTCTCTCTCTCTCTCTCTCTCTCTCTCTCTCTCTCTCTCTCTCTCTTTTTTTTTCGTCATTTCCCTCTCCCCTTCTTTCTTCCACTGTCCTTCCTCATCCTTCACAAAATCCTCGTCGGTCTTCCCCATGATTTTCCCTCCTCATTCTTCTTCTTCATGTCTTTCATTATCGCGTCCACTGCTCCTTCTCCCTTTCACCATGTTTTCTTCTTTTTTCAATCTCCTTCTCTTATTCCATTCTCATCCATCACCGTTCCTCCTCCTCTTCCTCCTTGCTTGCCTCTGACTATCATCTCTTCAGGGTGTTATCTAGGGAAGGAAAATGACTGATCACCACCAGCAGGCAGAGGAAGGACTACCCTGCTGCATCCGACCTAACCTAACTTAGCTAAACTTAACTTAACCTAACCTATATCTTCCCTGCATCTACTTTGAATCTAAGCCAACCTAATTTAACTTGACCTAACCTAACCTAACCTAACCTAGCCTAGCCTAGCCATGTTCACGGTTGGAAAGGGAAGTTTATAATGTATTCACTTACAAATCTCAACGTGAAGAAAGTCATTGGTATCGAGGTGGGTATTTTTTTTTTTTTTTTTTTTTTTTTGCGGGGGGTGACTACAGTTGGAAAGTTTGATTTGATATTAAATAGTGAAGGTGACCTTATCGAGTTCTCCCGTTTGAAATATTGATGGGTGAAGGATGAAGTGGGGGGAACAGTGTGGGGTCTCCTCTGATGACTAATGGTGTCGCAAGTCCAATAATCAACGGACAGACGGACAGGCAGATGGTGGTGATGTGACTGAAGCCTCTCTCTCTCTCTCTCTCTCTCTCTCTCTCTCTCTCTCTCTCTCTCTCTCATCGCCATATTTCCATTCCTCCCTCTCTCCTTCTCACTCCACCTCCATCCCTCACCACCACACCACCTCCGCCCTTCCCTCTTTCTCTCCCCTTCTACCTCCTTCCCTCTTCTTCATGTCTCTTTTTCTCTCCCTCCCGTTTTTCCTCACCATCACCCTTCTTCCCTTTCTCCATCAACTCCTCTTTACCTTTCTGTTCCTCACCACCTCCTTCTTTCCCTCCTTTCTCACCTTCTCTCGCCTCATTTCCTTCTTCACCACCACACTCTTTCCCTCTCTCCCTCACTCTCTTACAACCTTCATCTCTTTCCCTCCTTCCCTCCCTCACCAACACCTTCCTTTTTTCCTCTTCTCTCCTTCTCACTCTACTTCCATTTCTCTCCCCCCACCACATTCCTTCCTTCCTTCCTTCCTTCCTTCCCCCAGACTCGTCACTCCTCCAGCCTCACCTTCTCAGGAGGACAAATTGGGTACTGTCAGGCCCTGGGGACGTGACTGTCTGGGAGTCATGATGGAGCAGAATCCCAGACTCCTGCAGCGCCATTATAATACCATTAACATTATCCGCCTCACTATTATGGCACCATTAAGGATATACCCATCACCATTATGGCACCATTAACCTTATCTCCTACGGTATTATGGCGCTATTAAGATTACCTGTAAACTCCCGCCTCCTTCTTTGGCGTTACTAAGGGTATCTGTCGCACCATTATGGCGAAAGTAAGGATATCTATTGCACCATTATGGCACCATTAAGGATATCTGTCACCATTATGACACCATTAAGAATATCCAGCACCTTTAAAGATATATCCAACTCCAATATGGAACCATTAAGGATATAAATCACCATCATGGCACCATTAAGGATATCGGCTGCGCAATTATAACGCCATTAAGGGTATCATCTGGTTCTCAAGACTCCTGTCACACTCCCTCGGCAGTTGTGTGGTTTGAACTAGAGGGAGGTGTGTGTGTGTGTGTGTGTGTGTGTGTGTGTGTGTGTGTGTGTGTGTGTGTGTGTGTGTGTGTGTGTGTGTGTGTGTGTGTGTGTGTGTGTGTGATGATGATGGAGAAGAATATGTGTGTTTGAGAGACATTATATACGAGAGAGAGACTAGCACCAGAATCGTGTCAATAGTATACTGTATAATATTGCTCACTCCAGATTGTGCCTTGTATACTTACATGGGAGGGAGTTACAATACGTACACGGGGCCGGTACACGGTTGTAGATACATGCACAAGGAGGCTGAAATAGTACATTTATGGGGTTAGTATTCCTACATGGGGTAATTTATGTACACGGGATAACACGTACACGGGGCTAATATACGTACAAGTCGGTTTGGTATACGTGCATAGGGTTAATGTGTACGTGTACGGGGGTAGTTACTAATACGTACACGGGAGCTAATCTACGTACACGAGGTTTAGTACACTTACACAGGAGTTAATCTACGTACACGAGAGCTAAAACGTACATGGAGTTGGCTCGGCGCGTGTATAAAGCTACTACCTACTCATTATTATGTAATTCTTACCTGTAATACCGTGTGGGGTCCGGCTAGGTGCTCTGTCATGCTGAGGGACTTAGTGTGAGAGAAGAGAAGTGTGTTAATAGACATTTTTATAACTAGTGTGAGATAAGTTTGTAGAAATGTGAGATTATTGTGTATGAGTGTGATGTTAGTGTATAGAGGTCTAGTGTGTATTAGTGGTGCGAGTTAGTGTGAGTGAGAGAAATGTGTGTTGAGGGGAGATATTTTAATTGGTGTTAAGTTAGTGTGTGGAAGTGTGAGGGTATCATGTAGCAGGAAGTGTATTGGAACAGTGTGAGAAAGAAGTATGTTGGGTGAGAGATTTACCTCCAGTCGGAGGTTACTGTGTAGCAGTAAGTATGCAAAACTGTGAGTTTGGTGAGTAGAAATGAATGTGTTATAGCAGTGTGATGTTTGTGTGTTTGAGAGAAAGAATTTGTGTTAAGATGTGCAGTTCATTCCAGCGTGAGGCGAGTGTGTGTGTGTGTGTGCGTGTGCGTGCGTGTGCGTGTGCGTGCGTGTGTGTGTGTGTGTGTGTGCGTGCGCGTGTGTGTGTGTGCGCGCGCGCGGATTGAGGGATCAGTGTATGGCTGCCTCATAAGTTCATCAGGAAAGCTTGTTAGAATAGTGACAAAGTTAAGTGCATGCCATTTAAGTGCATTAGATGAATGTGTTAGAATGGTGCGACAATGAAGTGTGTAGCTTCTGCATGAGTTGAGTTATTTTAGTATGAAATAACCCGTCAGGTTCATTATGTGTATGAGAGGGGTCGTGGGGGTTAATAAGACATGACCAGAGGTCGTGGTCGTCCAGGAATGCAGTGTTCTATGTAATTTTTAGTCCCCAGTCTTACAAGAACAAATTTTTTAACTAAATTAGGCCGGCAAAGTACAGGCGTGTTCTCTGTAATCACATTATAAAATATATACATTCATCGATTCAGTGAACACAAACTCAAAAGCAAGTTAACCCCGAGAGAAATATGCGACGTTCTCCTGTAATTGAAATTTTGGTTTCGTAAACACGCTGTTATTTGTCGTCATTTTTTATCAATCATCTACAACATCGTGTTCTGGAGGAAGCACGTACACAGGCGATGATCAGCTGTAAGTAGGTATGCACTGCTTCTCATTACCCATAACCAGACGTAAACACCAGCGAGGAGGTGAAGCTCGTACGTCAGAACACTGGATAAATCACCCACAGTAGTCAAACACTCGGGATTGATGGTGTATCGTGGAGCTTGACAATCCTCGGGCTTCATGACCGAGTGTGATTGATGTGGTACGTCCCCGTATGATGCATGTGTGTGTTTGTGTGTGATAACAAGTTCCTACTCTCTCTCTCTCTCTCTCTCTCTCTCTCTCTCTCTCTCTCTCTCTCACACCTGACTAACCAAGTTTCTTTCCACAGCTGTGAGGGAAGAGGACGCAGGGGAGTACAAGTGCTCGGGCACGTCAGATGCGGGCACCACCACCGTCACCAGCTACCTGAAGGTGGTACCTCCGAACAGTCCAGCCGCCGCCCGCACTACGCCTGCCCCCGACCCTAGAGACCTTCCGGGGTCGCCCAAACCACCAGCCCTTCGTGCACGCAACGCCACTACCCTCACCCTGGCCTGGGGTCCCCCTGATCACGAGGGCGCCTCTGCCATCACCTCCTATATCCTGGAGGTGGGTACTGGTGCACTGCACTGTATTTGTTAGATGAATTCTGCTGTAACAATAGCTGAAGTCAGCGAATAAAAGATACATGGTTCCTACTGTAAGTTGCTCTCGGTTTGATGATAATTATGGAATATTCGATACTTGACATGTAGAGTAAAACAACAGGAGGGGAGTCACCCATGTATTAATTAACGTCGCCCCGGTAGATGTGGAGTGGCCCGGGGTCATGGCAGCCGCTAGAGGAGCACATCCCCGCCGAGTCCTACACCGTCACCGGCCTCAAACCGTACACCCAGTACCGGGCCATCGTCAGGTAGGTCCTCACGTCTCACCAGGTCCTCCGCAACCCACCTGGTCTTTCACGGGTGTATAGCCAGGTACTTCCCTCCAGCTCTGCCTGGTCATTTATCGGTCCCTGACATATGTAGGTGTCATATGGTACTCTCGCTGTCATATGAGTTGATATATAGTCACTCATGTGTCACTTTGATGAGGGTGATTATGATGTCCGGGGTCATATGTCAACATCAGTGTCATTGAGTAACATTTTGTTTTAGTTTTTGTTCCAGTATTGTTTCTCTTGTTATTGTTGTTGTCAGTTTGTTGATGTAGTTTATTCCTTTAATAATTTCACAGTTATTATAATCAGTCAGTCAAGATGTCAGCCTTATGTCTGAGGGTTGGCGACCACAGTCTTTCACGGTACCACACTACCTGTGTCTCTCATGTCAGCAAGTTATGTCAGCAGTACCGTATCTTCCTCTTTTAGACCTACCCCTTACTTTCTCTCCTTTTTTTTCTACTAACGTGATCATACCTTCTGTTTGTCCAATCCAGGTCCTGTATTGGCCAATCAGATCAATCCCTTTTGACCACGACCCATTTCATTCTCTGTTCCATTCATTGGTGCCATCCAACGAACCTCCCTCTCCCTCCCTCCCTTCCTCCCTCTCTCTCTCCTCATCTTCCTCTTTCCTCACCACCTCCCTTTACCCCCCCCCCTCTCTCTCTCTCTCCTCTTCCTCCCCCCCTCTCCCTTATTTCTCCTATTCCTCCCTCCCATCTCCCCCCACCTTCCTCTCTTTCCTCCCACCTCCTCCTCCTTCCTTCCTCTTCCCTTCCTCCCACCTCCCTCCATCTTCTTACCGTGTCACCCCACCCTCCCTACTTCTTCCCCTATAACTCCCATCTGGTAATCCCTTCATCTATATATAACACATCTCAGTCAGTACAGTTTCCTCTCACTTGTGTTTATGGACTGAACGTATTTTTAACCATTACTGAATTTTGACGTAACATACAATTTATTTATTTTTTCTCGTACATTCTCGTTGAACCAATTACGCCAGGGCCTCCCAGCTCGATTAAAATTGATAATGATTTATTCAGTGGATGGGAAAGGTGTAAATATTAGGAAAAAATATATATATAAATAAATCTAAAGTAAATACTGATACACTGTGCATTGAGTTTTTAAAAAGTAAGTAAACAGGATTTTTTTTTTGAGTCGCTACTAGTATTAACAATTTGTTGTATTGTTTTGTTTTTATGAGTGTTGTTAATTGTTAAAGAATTATATACATTGTCTGTCACCTTCCCTCCTACCCACGATGTGTCGGTGTCCATGAAGAAAAAAGTCACAATTTTGGTTCAGGAAAAATTTTCATACAGTAGGATATAGAAAGACCTTTTAAATAATCTAAATGAAGTTAAGTTAGGTTAGGTTAGGTTAGGTTTGTGCCTTGTTTTCCTACATTCGTTTTGACTGGCTTGTTAACATCATCCACCATCCGTGTGTTAGTTTACTGTGCACACCTCAGGGCTCCATACTATAGGCTGTATTGTTACCTTACATGTTAACTCCCACCGCCTTTGTATAGACACTTAACACGTACAGTATAACTAATAAGGGTTAATTTACATACGATTGATAACAAATGAGTAAGAGTGCTCTCAGGTTTACAGTATAGAGTCTCAATCGACGTAAATGTATCAAAATGAGGGTTGGCCGGTCAAATGGTTTAAACCAAACAAGACATATTTTTTTAACGATGCCTTTTTCTCTTGGTTTTAATAGTTTTTTTGCTGGTTTTTATTACTTACAGATGGTTTTGAGGATTTATAGATTTGGAAAAGGCGTATGATAGGGAGGAAGGCTATTAAATGTAGTGAAAACATTCTCTGAGAACAGCAGGGCAACAGTAAGAGTAAACGGGAAAGAATGCGAAACATTCGAAATAAATGTGTTACGGATGCGGAATGTCCCCGTGGTTGTTTAATATAGACATGGATGTGAACTATTATACACTGGTGAAAGTGGTGATTATAAGCTTTCTTATAGGGCTGATTATAAGGGAGCCAAGTTGCCACAGTTCAGTATAACTGGTGACTGCATCTGTTGTTGTTGTTTTTATTTTGTTTTTTTTACGGGAATTAGCCCACCCGGGCACAGGTCAAACGACCCATAACGGAGCCTGGGGGGCGAAAAAAAAAGACCGGAAAGAAATTGAAAATATAGAAAAAAAAGTTATACTGTATTAATCTACACCACGAAGATGCCGGAAAACCAGCCTTTTAAAGTGAGACAGATTGTAAGAGTATGGAAACTCAGAAGAAGGAAGAGCATTCCACAGTTTGGCTGTGTGAGGAAAGAAGGAGGTACTATAACGGGTTATTCTCGTGTGTCCGACATCCACAGAGAAATGGTGGGCACCGCCTGTTGGGCGCTGAGCCTCTGATTCTAATGTGTTAAGATCTCGTAAAATACGGGTCTAGGGGAGCCAAGTTGCCACTGCCCAAATCTCTCTCTCTCTCTCTCTCTCCAACTGTAATTAAATGGAATCTTTAAAACTTTCAGCTGTAAAAGTAGATTAGTTTTTCCATGCATTAAGATGAACTTAAACGTAGTTTTTGCCTTTAAAAACGTAGGATGAGTCTGAGTGAGTGATCAAACCTGTGTTTTTCAAATTTGGCCTTTACACGGTGATTTTTTGAGATGGAAAAGAGTATAAATGATTACCAAATCATCTTGAATGTAATGTTTACAATTAATAGCATATTAAAAAGTTATATAAAGGCCTACAGATACTTAAAATTCGTTAAAACTAACATAATAGCATTAACACCAAAAAACACAAACAAAATCAAATTTTTTTAAAAAAATTTTGCCATCCCTGATCAAACAAATTGTGCGGCTTCATTTTTTAGTCATGAACCGGAAGTGTGTTGTATTAATTGTCTTTATTAATCGGATGTAATTATATATATATATATATATATATATATATATATATATATATATATATATATATATATATATATATATATATATATATATATATATATATATATATATATATATATATATTCAAAACCCAGAATTGGGGGTTTCTACTTCTATTGAGATACCGGAAGTGAGTTTTGGATCGTGTGTCTTAGAAACCTTAAATAAGGTAATATAACGTCTAATAACTGGAAATAAACTATAGCAACACCCAGTAACCGGAAAAAGAGTAACGCCCAGTAACAACAAATGGGTTTTTTCTAGCACCATTAAGAGCTAATACGCATAACTTACCATCACACAGAGCCATGAACATGCACGGGGTATCTGCAGCCTCACCCGTGTCAGGGCCGCTGGTGACGGGCGGCCGACGGGTAGGAGAGAGCGGCACCTCCAATGTCGACGATGACCCACAGGCCCGGGAGGTGCTCGCCCACCCACACGTCACACTCCTCCCGCCCACACCTGTCTCCTCCACGGCCATCAGGCTAACGTGGAAGGTACATTACTCTGAGGCGGTTTGTATAGCTGTCTTTATTTGTCAGTCTGATTCTATATCTGTCTATCTACTTGTTTATCGATCAATCTGCAAATCTATCTATCTATAATATCTATTTATAAATTGGAAGGAAAAATTTCTCCATGATTTTGTTTACTCATTCTACTAACTGTTGAAGACATTCTGCTCAGTGTATTAAGACACCCTGTGCTTACTCTTACTGTGAAACAAATACTATTCATTTTATATAAGATTCTACTCACCAACATCAAACGCCAATCATTATACTCACCAAACACCCATCATTATACTCACTAAACACCAACCATTATACTCACCAAACACCAATCGTTATACTCACCAAACACCAATCATTATACTCGCCAAACACCAATTATACTCATCAAACATTATACTCTCCAAACAACAACCATTATACTCACCAAACACCAATCATTGTACTCACCAAACACCAATCATTATACTCACCCAACACCAATCATTATACTCACCCAACACCAATCATTATACTCACCCAACACCAATCAAACTCACTCAACGCCAATCATTATACTCACCCAACAGGGCCAACACCAATCATTATACTCACCCAACACACCATTATACTCATCAATCGCCAACCATTATACTCATCAATCGCCAACCATTATACTCATCAATCGCCAACCATTATACTCACCAATCACGATTAATTATACTCACCAATCATACTCACCCAACACCAATCATTATACTCACCCAACACCAACCATTATACTCATCAATCGCCAACCATTATACTCACCAATCACGATTCATTATACTCACCCAACACCAATCATTATACTCACCAATCGCCAATCTGCAGGTCCAGGACTTCGCAAATTACATGGACGGTTTTTACATCCGGTATCGTGACCTGGACTCGGGTACGCATCAATTCCGGATGGAGACCATAGTGAGGTCGGGGCCAGATGCCTACACCCTGACGGACCTGGACAAGTACACTGAGTATGAGTTCTTCGTCGTCCCCTACTACAGGAACATCCACGGACACCCCTCCAACTCCCGGATCGCCAGGACTAAGGAAGATGGTGAGGGAGAGAGAGACATTATAAGTGGTCTTACAATGGGCCTTCGTGTTGGGTACTCAGCTGTAACATTTCTCTTTACGATAATGTGAACTGGAATATGACACTACACACGAAGAGACGCACTAGAGGTACACACGAAGAGACGCACTAAAGGTACACACGGTCACACACACTAGAGGTACACACGGTCAGACACACTAGAGTTACACACGGTCAGACACACCAGAGGTACACACGAACAGACACTAGAGGTACACACGAACAGACACACTAGAGGTACACACGGTCAGACACACTAGAGTGACTAGAGGTACACACGATAGACACACTGACACCATTTTCAGATAGGTCAAAGCTCTAGTGTGTGTCTGGCCCCTGTGTGTTCTGTGATAGACTCAGATTTAAAAACTTGTCTCAGAAACATCACGATGACAGACTACATCATAGACTATGGATACTGAATAATGTTATCCAGATTGTAATGGCATGGTTCTAAAGGTGGTGCATTGATCTGTAGTATGTAGAATTTTCATTATACCTAACATCTACTCAACCTAAGTCCCATACATCTGGAAAGCCCCGATTTTTGCCAGGTATTTCGCCGTAGATTAAATTCCACCTTGGCAGATGATCTGATTTTATGCTGCGTCCACAGTGCCGTCGGCGCCCCCATCAGGAGTTGAGAGCTTGGTGTTGAACAGGACGAGCGTGGTGCTGTCATGGCGGCCACCCTCCCGTGCCCACACCAACGGCCTCATCACCCGCTACTCCGTGTGGCTTTTCATCAACAAGACACAACCTCACTCTAACCTCACCGTGGACGGCGCCCTGCACAGCCTCACCCTTCATAATCTTACGTTCGGCCTTCACTTCACTGCCACTGTCGCCGCCCACACCAAGTGAGTCTCGTATAGGGCTCAGAGCCATCAACTTATGCATCGATATAATTCCTATTTCATTTTCAGTTGTATTTTCCTCTTGATTCTACATGGGTAAATTGCTAGTGTTGGCAGGTGTGTATTACCCTAAAGGAGTCACTTTCCTTGATGATAGAGTATCAGGTGTACCATTATCATCCTCTGTAAACTTAGAATCCATTACTGAGATTAATGACATTGAGGTAGCATGGAACTGCAGAGCGCGTATTTTGATCTTGTACACCAACACCTACATTCAGGGTTTCACTCCCCTCCTGAGTGTGTTCTCTTTATCATCCTCATCATTATTATATTTTCCCTCTGACCAGTGTTTTAATCTCCTCTGCCAGGGCTGGCCAGGGCCCCACTAGTGGTGGCCACACCTGGCTACAGGACCCCCTGGCCAATGTGGGGTCTGATGAGGCCCGCCGAGTACCCTCCCCACTGATGGCTGTGTTGAGGGAGACTTGGTTCATCGGGGCGGTGGGCGCTGCCGGCTTTGTGGCTCTCTCGGTATTTGTCGCCGTCGTCTGTTACCGCCGCAAGAGGAACGAGAAGCGAGCCATGGGAGGTGAGTACCTGTACCTTATACAACCGTAATCATATCAGCAGCTAAAAGTAAGTCTGCTGATAGAGATGGAGGGATTCCTTAGCATTATTATAGTAAGAAACGAATTGTTTCTTGACCCACGTGAACTGAGTTGGTCGTACAACCAAAATCTTTAGCAACATCTGAACATGTTGCCAGTGTTGGTCTAGTTCTCTACATAGAGTACTATAATTTGTATTTTACTATGTGTGTAAGATATATTGGCTATTTTACCCCCACGGTCAAGGTGAAGACCGTGACCATAACATCTCAGCATCTTTGTCCAGCAAGACCAACCAGACATACATCCATGCTGGTTTTCTTCTAACAGGATCATTCCACTGTGTAATGATCTATAAAAGTGTCATGTATGATTCTCTCGAGCATTTTGTAAATGATAGCAGATTCATCTATGATGGAACTGTAATTACCCATGCTGTGACAATCGCCCTTTTTGAATACAGGACTCACATATGCCAGTTTACAGTCCTTAAGAATCTTTCCTTCCTCCATAATCCCATTGAACAAGATACTGAAGGGTTCCCAGGATTCATTGCACAACTCCTAACACTCTGGGACGCACATCATTAGGACTACGAATTTATTAAGTTTGAGCTTGGATAAAGTGGTTTTCACACATTCACACATTCCTCATACAGCTTAATGCTAAAATACTGAATGTTGCTTACAAAACTAGTTATTTTCATCCTCTTTTGTAAACACTGAGAAGGTAATTGGTTTGAGTGTCTTTGTCTCCGCTTTGTCTTGGTCTTATTTCTCATAATTGTCTTCTTAAAGTCTCGGGTCTTGATACACCAACAAGTGTCTTGAACTTTGATTTGGGGAAGTGATAGAGGGCTTTGGGGTTTGACTTGATCTCTGATACTGTTTGTCTCACGTAATTCTCATTTTGCTCTTTTATTGTCGAACTTAGTTTGGTGTCTCAACTTGTCTGTGATATTTGACAACTTGTCCAAGTACCTGACACTGTGGCGTGACTCGTAAAGTGTTTTAGGTGAGGGTCTTTATTGGCAATACGCGGCCTGTAACTCGTCGCTTTCAATGTAAAAATAGTTAATGATAAGGAATTAATAGCACTGTGCATTTTTTGTCATAATGTTAACTATAAATGAATTAAACTTAGCCTAGGTTAACCTTAAGTCTTGGTTTAATCGAACGGTTATCGATGCTATTAAGTGTTATATATATATATATATATATATATATATATATATATATATATATATATTTGGTAACTTGGCCACCAAAGCCACTTCTTCACAGGCACTTGTTTTCAGCAGTGCATACTGTACTGTACAGTATATCTCCTGACGTGTGTGGATATTGGCTGGCCGCTCCTTGAAACAATCTTTTAGTTGTATTTTATTTTTTACATAAATGACAGGAGCTACAGGCATCCACTACTCCCGTCTCCAACTCAGACGCCCCTCCCAGGAAAAGTAGAGTCGAGAAAAACTGGGGTGTTCGTTCCTGCAAGTTGCTCAGTCGACTCACCAGAGATGTTTATAACCTGGATGACAGCCTCGCACTCCCGCTGCCTTCACTCTCCAGTATATAGCTGTCTGCCCCTGTGTTGGCTGTGAACAGAATGAGACTTTTGATTCTTTGGTTCTGGAACTATTAGAAATACATTTGCATGTCGAACAAAATTTTTTTTGTGGATTTTGAAAAAGATTACAATTATTTTGAGAACTTATATAAGCTCCCATCAGCGGAACACACACACACACACACACACACACACACGCACACACACACACACGCGCGGAACTTACCCAGATTACTCTGTGTAATGGGTGTTGTCCCCTCCGGGCCAGCCAGCAGCCAGGCGACTCACCTACAGTACCGTCACTCACCTGAGGCCCGTCACTCTTTCACCAGTCACTCAAATGAGACTCGATCTTCACTCGTCACTCACCTCAATCTGTCACTCACTTCATGCCTGTCATTCACTTGAGCCATTCCTTCCTTGTCAACTGCCCGTCTTCATATTCTCGGCATTTTCCCACCTGCACGTCATTGTCTCTCAGTGCTGTCGTGAGCACAGACTTATGACAGCGTCCCCCAGACCCACTTGTACCGCGTAAAGTGCTTCTATTCGAGAGATTTACTGTAGGTCGTTGGGTGTTCATCAAAGAGTAACCTGTTATATTGAACACCATAGTTGTTCAAGAAGTTCAAGGAGTTCGTGAAGGTTCGAGGTTCATGTAACATTCGAGTTGTTCACGTTAGTAAAACTTCTGAAGTTACAACGGTCAGCAATATATGCTCCGATTACTGAAAGAGTTATTGCTGAACTCTGTCAAGTGTTCGTGTACGACAAGAACACCACTGAACACCTTCTAAGCGTTCAGTCAGCGAAATTCAATTACTTGAATGCCAGGGAGAGGGGTTGGGGGGGGAGACAGCAGTACCATCACGCAGTAACTTCCCAAATCTGTTCATTCAGTCAGTAAGACCTTCACGTAGAAGTAAACGAAGTCTTCTGAGCACTAAAGGAGGTGCTCAGTAGACGTTCAGTTCAGTTAGGTGAACACGTAGATGCGGCATAACTAAAGGCAGCAACAACAGCGCCACCACCACCACCACCTCTGGCTGATCTGCAATTCGGAATACACTTTATGGCCTGGCTCAAGAACTTCCCAATTCCTCCCTCTCCGTGTTGCCTTTGACGACGTCGTTTGAGCTACACATAAAAGGGGGGGGTGGTTGGAATTTGGGTGGGGAAGGACGGGGGAGATTAGGCAGGATGGAGGAGTGGGGTGATTGGGTGAAGGGGAGATTAGGTAGGGTGGAGGAGTGGGGTGACTGGATGAAGGAGGAAATTAGGCAGAGTGGAGGAGTGGGGTGATTGGGTGAAGGGCGAGATTAAGCAGGGTGGAGGAGTGGGGTGATTGGGTGAAGGGGAGATTAGGTAGGGTGGAGGAGTGGGGTGATTGGATGAAGGAGGAAATTAGGCTGAGTGGAGGAGTGGAGTGATTGGGTGAAGAGCGAGATTAGGCAGGGTGGAGGAGGGGGGGTGATTGGATGAGGGGAAGATTTGGCGAGGAAGGAGGGGGACTAGTTTAAGAGAGTGAGGATATGGATATGGAAAAAGGAAGAGGGAGATTACGTTGGAGAAGAGAGTGATTGTGTGCAGTGGGGGGCGGGGGGTGATTGGGTTGGCGATGGGAGACATTTGGTTTGAAGAAGGGGAACGATTGTATAGAAGGAGAGAAAATTTACGAGTTTTTAGTGATGAAGGGAGGAAGGAATGACCTAAACCCCGAAAATATTGTTTAAGGTAATGTTGTTTTCCGGTTTTAGTATTTAGTGTGGTAATGTTTTTTTTTCGGGCTTTAAGAATTGTTATTACAATCATGATGACGAACCAATTAACTTGACTCTCTTGAGGGATTTATGTTGTGAAACTTTCAACCTACGACTGCCAGACAGACAAACACGTGTGAATTATAAACAGGAGGATAATAAAGGAATCTGCTTTATTTATCTACTACAATAACGAGACGAAACACACGTAGGAGAAAATCCCTACAAGGAACAGAGAATATCGCTCTCACCCGCCTAAGTTCGACAATATAGATTTTTTTTGTGTGTGAGAGAAATAATTGAGATGAAAATTAGAACGAGCGCATAATACATTCTTATGGCGAATAATCTTTATTAAAACAGTTTCAGCGAAATATTAAATATACAGGTTTATGTTCCCGCTAAATGAGTTCCCAAAATGAGTGAATGACATTACCGTTTATACGAGGCCAAACATTCCATTATTTTATTAAGGACCAGAAATTGGACTTTGCGGGCAGACATAGTGCCACTCTGATCTAGAAATAGGTGTTGAGAGGACCAAGTGCCATCCTGGTGGGAGAGGGCCAAGTGCCATCCTGGTGGGAGAGGGCCAAGTGCCATCTGGTGGGAGAGGACCAAGTGCCATCCTGGTGGGAGAGGGCCAAGTGCCATCCTGGTGGGAGAGGGCCAAGTGCCATCCTGGTGGGAGAGGGCCAAGTGCCATCCTGGTGGGAGAGGACCAAGTGCCATCCTGGTGGGAGAGGGCCAAGTGCCATCCTGGTGGGAGAGGGCCAAGTGCCATCCTGGTGGGAGAGGACCAAGTGCCATCCTGGTGGGAGAGGGCCAAGTGCCATCCTGGTGGGAGAGGACCAAGTGCCATCCTGGTGGGAGAGGGCCAAGTGCCATTCTGGTGAGTGGTGGGAAAGGGGACCCAGGGACCTGAGGGGGGGGGGATGATGTAATGGCAGGACAAAGTGCCAAGTGCCAGTACATGTAAATAGGATGATGTAAGGATAAGTGGAGACAGTGCCAAATGCCATTGTTGTGATTATGAAGCGTCGGGGAATCTGGAGACAGAAGAACAGAGTGCCAAGTGCCTGGATCGGGGGATCTATCGTGACAAGGATAGAGTACCAAGTGCCACTATGATTTGTGAGGAAGGGAGGATGATTGGTGCGTCTCCGATGGATCTGAGAACAGGAAGATGTGTGAATGCAAGGATGGGATGCCACGTGTTTTTCTGGTGTCTGGAGACAGGAAGATAGTGTGCTAAGGATAAAGGGCTGTGATCACAAGGATAGAGTGCCAAGTAACACCCTGGTGTGTGTGTGTGTGTGTGTGTGTGTGTGTGACAGTAGTGTGTGCCCGGGGATCAATATGGTGACAGGAGGGTTTATAGCTCTGGTCCTGCTCTGTTTTATGCAGATTTGATGGAGCTTCATTTTTGGAACCCCTTCTTGTGGTGATTGGATTAGGATTTATGTGATATCCGGCCGAGACAAGTCCGGCCAGCCAGTGTGAAGATGCGGTGTTCTGTGGCGGATGAAACAGATCCGGCCAGCTAGTGATAACTTATTTTTTTATTTATTCTCTTTGTCATTCGTCAGTTTACTTGCCAGTCCTGCGGTCGGTCACTTGCCTATTGCGCACTGTTGGCAGGTACAGGGTGT